TCTCTCTCTCTCTCTCTCTCTCTCTCTCTCTCTCTATTTCTCTCATTCTTACACACTATTTCTCCAGTCTCACACTCACAGGCGGGCATACGCATGCATATATATAAGTATATAACAGTTCATCATTATGACAGGTATGTTATTTTATATTGAAGTTCGGTCCATACCTGGGGACCAAAGAACAAAAAGGAACTCTAGCGTATGTTTTATAATTTTGTTTTGGAGTTTTAAGAATTAAATTGTTAGAGGCTCGGAAGGGATGATATATAATTCCAGGAATTTTTAAAAGATGAAAAGCTGCAGTACATGTCTTATTTATTTAAAACAGAAAAAGGCAGTTTTGTATTTGATCCTTTCTTTTACTGGCAGTGTAGTTCTTTCAGAATTGGTGTTACATGAGGTGGTTGTTGGGGGTTTCTTTATCAATTTTGATACTTGATTATGGAGTACTTGTAACTGATAGTTTTTCGGCCACCGGATAAAATAGCATTACAGTATAATAATTTTGATAAAATCAGTGTCTTGCTGGTTACGTGTAATTCTACTCCACTTTTATTGTATGTTACTCTCTAGTGACACTTTTAATCTTTTGCATTTATGTGGCCTTTTGCGTCGTAAAATCTCGTATTAAAACTAAAACTACTAATTGGGCCTAATAATAAAGACTTACGCAACATTGTAACAGTCCTCGAGGTATTGTAAATACTACGTGCCTCTCAGCTTCCCAGCCAATTTATTTTTTAAAAGACGTAATAAACTAAGAAACTAACATAATTATTTAATTATTTCTCTTGTCTATTATCCAAAGGTTCACCCCTTCCCCTCTCCCCTGCCCTTTTTCTCTTTTCTGAAGACCCCCCCCCCCCCACACTCTCTCACACCTCTCTCTCTCTCTCTCTCTCTCTCACACACACACACACACACACACACACACACACACACACACACACACACACCCCCCCACACACACACACCCCACATTATCGAAATAGCCTACGGTAATTCAGCTAAAAAGAACACGGCTTTGGTTTCTGTACTATAGCCAAGGAGCTTAAAACAAGCTTACTGTAACCTCCTTGACAACAGTTAAGTAGTAGGATTTTATAAACGAAGAAAACCGAATGAAATTGTTGAAAGTATAGAAACAACTTTGTGACATAAACTAAGTTCTGTCAATAGTTGAAATTCCAAGATATAGGGGCCCATATTTACTGATACCTGGCACGTTAAAAAAGTAGTTTGTCTTATCAATTAAAGGATGGTTACTTATTGAAAAAATGATACAGTAATTGTTCTTTGCATCCTATTATGTGCTTATTACTTTTTAAAAAGCTGAGCGCTATCTTTTTCCTTGATCCCTAGCTCGGTGTAACTGAAAAAGGTGTAAAGCAAGGAGTTTTAATCTCCTTGGTGTAAAGCACAGAATTCTACAGAATTCTGTGGTGTAAAGCAATATTCCAATCCGGCATGACATATTCGTCCAATTGACAACTTCCGGTCCTAACTTTGTTTTTGTTATTATTCGCGTTGCATTGGTACCCTTTCAGGTACCTGTTGTCCTGAGCAAGAGCCTTCACGTGTTGATTTGCATCGAACACTCGTTACAATTTGAAGCATTTTAATGTATTTTTAACTCATATGTGTTCTGGAGAAGGGATATGTAGGTCAAGGATCCAGTTTGTTTTGGTAAACAGCTGGGATCCAAAATAAACAAGATGGCGACGAGCGATGGAAGTGTCTCAAGTTTGGAGTCCAGTCAAGTGAAAGAGACCAACATAGATGTCGAACGCCTTTACAGAACCTTTACCTATAAATGTCTGCAAGTAATTGTCCAATCTCGTATTGAGAAGAAAGAGAATGCAAGAGACAAAGTCCAGTATGAAAACTATGTAAGTTAAAAGGCCTCTTCCTCTCTGTTCTCTCCCAGTCCCAGTCATCTGTACACATGCCGTTAAACGTAGAAAAGACGCATCTTTCTGATTGGCTGCTAATTGTAGTACTGTGATGTCATCACTCCCTGGGATACCCACATGGGTATTTTTTTACTTTCCCTCCCGTCTCACACTCAGCTACCA